TGTCTGCGTGCACACAATGAGAGTTCAGCTCAACTAACTTCCCATCGGTTTTGGACTGAATAAGTCTATGAACATAGTTGTCTCCCACATAATCCCAGACGCGCTTAGTTTCCACTTCTAAGGAATAGCAATGCTGCGTCTCTTTCCAGTGAATTATCGCATGCCCTCCTTTATATCTGAAGATACACATCGTTGCACCAAAATACATTTAAAAAGACAAGCAAGGAATAAAATGCAACAAAAGAAGGGGCCGAGTGACAAAAATCTCTCACCTTCCACAACCAACAAAACCACATATAACACATATCCAAAGGTTCTCAGTGGTTTGACAAATGAAACATATAGATTTTTCAGCTTGCTGTTGGCAATAGCGGCATACCTGAAAATATAAGCAGGGGACTAGTACTGAATACTTAATTAACTAATAGAAGGATTCAAAAAGAAACCCTTGCTTTCAAACTAATCAAGTAATCCCAGCTGAAATCAATTATAAACATGAAAACATTCAACTTGTTGAGACATCCCCAATCCTAAAGTTACAGTCAGTTGCTCTCGGCTCTTGGGCATGCCCTATAATATACACCCTCATGCCTATACATGAAAAGACAGAGGAAACAGAGCAACTTACAGGACAAGAAGAATCTGCCCATTTTGAAATACAGGAACAATGGAAAGAATGATTGCATATGGTTGTAAGAATTCCACTTGTGTCTTGATCTAATCGCTCTATAAAATAACAAAATGAGGCCAATATTTAGAACTTTCTATTTAAACATTTAGCGTATGCCAATGGATAGTTCATTCAGAAGGTTCCATACTTGCAAGACAAACAACAACAACATTATGAGCAAGTTTGAAAAAATTCTCCAAACGCACCTATAGAAAAATAAGTTACGAAATTGCAATAACATTGAGTTTTTTAATTAACTTATTCTCTTGTATAACTTGAAATTAGCTTCTACTTTTCAATTTTTTCATAAGCTCTATTATTTACCATCTTGAAATACACACTCCTACATCTATAAGTCCTTTCTCAGATTTCATCTACAAACTCCAATGCTTTTGAAAGCAAGCTATACTATAAAGGGCCTAAAGCAATAGAAGAGATATGTAATGTACCAAGGCAAACCGGACATGTTGGCTGTTCAGTTGAAGTGGCATTGGAAGGTTGTGCATGTTCAATGGAGCCTGTATACTGCACATCTAATGTAAAAACAACACGGCACACCTCAACCTATATATATTCAAATCAAACACAACAAAATCAATAAATAGAAAAACAAAAACAAAAATGCATTACGCTATAGTGAAATCAATCGAGAAATGAATAAATAGAAACCTCAAGAGATGAGAAACGTCGACCATTATAATGAGTGTAGAAAGCATCCGTGGATTCTTGTTCATCGAAGCGAATTAAAACACTGTATCGATCTTCCATTGAATCCATCCTCACAATACGCATTTCAAGAATATGCTGAATAAACGAGCCACAGAATTGGCAGAAATCCGCATATGTCATGTGATTCGGTACTCCTAGAACACATGCCAATGGTTTCCGTTCGACCTAATACACACAAACACAAATTGGAAATCCGAAATGAAAATGAAAATTAAGAAGAAGATTGAATTGATTAGGTACCGGAAGAGAAGGAGGAGACTCGTCGGGGAAGAAATGCATGAGGCCGCGAGTTTCTTCGATTCTAGGGTTTCCGGAAGAGAAATTGAAGACAGAAGTTGAGAATGGAAAAGATTCACTCTGTTCCTCCTCGGAGACTCTGCTTGAACTCCACATCGCTAATCTAACCTCAAATATGATTACGATTATCAGCTTTTAAAGTTTAGGCTTTTGAAATTTTAAACTTTCCCTTTCAACTTCTTTATCAAGTTTATGCTTTGACTATTTTGTTTTAGTTTAATAGTAATACTTTTATTTTAATAACTCTAAAAATCTCCTTTATCAAAAACAAAAAAAAAACAAAAAAAAAAAAAAAAACTATTAAGCACAATTAAATTGATGGATGAGTTTTTTATTTGCTTGGAGTTTGAAAGTCAATGTGATTAAGTGGGTGTTGGAGAATATTATGAGTATATATAGTATGTAAAAGGAAACGAGTTATCTATATGCATTATGTAAAGCATGTATTGTATAGGTTGTGTAGCATGAAGAAGAAGTTAGCCATGCTATCGCATCATACATGCCGTACGTATACATGAGAACGTGTGCATGGCTATGTAGGTTGTGCACCATCATCATTATGTAAGCTTTATATAAGGATGATATGTGTTGTAGGTTGTGCACCATCATCATTATGTAAGCTTTATATAAGGATGATATATGTTATAAATGAATCAATCATTCAAGCATAGGTAAACATGATTATGTGAAATTTAGTCTCATTTCCTGGTTACAATCTTTTATGGTCTCTAATTATTTTCTAGCAGCACTAACTGTTTTCGGTTAACTTCAACAAATCACCATTTGTCCCCGATCTTCTTCCTTGAGCTGCCATGATGGATTCTTCCCCTACATTCACGGTTGGCTCGCTTACACTACTAATTCAAACTCTTATAGTCTTCGGGAATATCTCATATTCAAACTCCACTCACTATTTTGGTCTAAAGTTTTCCATCAAGCTTCAATAGAACAATTATCTCATTTAAAATCAGCAATTTGTAAGAGGCTATCCTCATTCATAGAGTGCACAAACTAATAGTGAACCCTCAAATTCCATCAAAGTTCAAGAATGAACAAGATCGCATTTATGGAAATGTATCTACATAATATGAAGCATGGATCGTACAAGATCAGACCGTGTTCATCTGGCTCCTCTCCACAATCTCTGAGTTGATATTACCTCGAGTGCTTGCTTGCAAACATGCTTTCGAAGTGTGTGACAAAATTCATTGTTACTTCAATGCTCACATGAAAGCTCGTGTGATGAAATTGCGTGTTAAACTAAAATCAATGAAGAAAGGTAACAAGTTTGTAACTGAATATGTTTTGGCCGTGAAATCTATCATTAATTCTCTCTTGGCAGTTAGTGATTTCATCACTAAACAAGATCAAATTGATTCAGTTCTTAATGACTTACCTAAAAAGTACAACTCTTTTGTTATGCAAATGTATTGTAGCCATGAACCTCTCTCATTCTTTGATGTTGAAGCACTTCTTTATGTGCAAGAAGCTCGGCTTGACAAGTTCAGACAAAAGTTAGTTATTTTGAATGTGTCAGCAAATTTGGCTCACGTAAATTCTCAAACAGGTGGTGTGCGTGAAACTTCACCAGATAATCGTGGTCGAGGACGCATGAATCGTGGCAGAGGGGTGGTAAAGGACATTCATCCTCGGGATCTAGACATTCATGTCAATTATGTGGCAAATATGGCCTTGATGTAGCAGATTGCTAACATAGGTTTGATGAAACCTTTACTTCAACAAGCGCTTCCTCAAACATATATGCACCTTCTTCCTCGATTGATAAAGTTGAAGCCTTCACATCTGACACACAAGCTATAGTAATGATGGCTCACACGCATGAGTATTCCTTACTTGAATCTCTTGAGAAGCGAGCATGGTTTGTAGGCTTGGGTGCTTCTCACCATTTTACTCCTTGTCACATTTATTGTATGTTAATCAATCTTATTCGGATCCAAATAGTGTTTGTGTTGCTAATGGTCAGCAATTACATGCATAAGTGCCTCTAGTGTTATCTCTAAAATTATGCATCATTTTCCTCTAATGTTAGGTGTTATTCTGCATGTTCATTATGTTACAAGAAATTTACTATCAGTTTTCAAATTTTCTAAAGATGATTATGTTGTATTTGAATCCATTGCTAACAAATGCTATGTAAAAACTCATGATTTTAAGCCAATTCTTCTTAAAGGCTTTCTTGATCCAAGTGGCCTCTATTGCTTTTCAATCCTTGTTGTGGAACCACTTCACTCTAGCTTTTCCAAGCAAAAGAATTTTTCTTCTCTTTCCATGCATACCAATTAGCAGTAGTTTCTAATTCTAATAGACCTAGTCCTACTATTTTAGGGCATTCTAGACTAGGATATGCTTACTTTCCAGCCATTAGGCTTTTATTAAAACATTGTAGCATTCATGTACCAAATAAAAGTTACATAGTTTTTTGCAAGTCATGTTGTCTTGGCAAGTCACATAGAATTCATACTCTATTGTCATCTACTACATGCTCCATTTGAAGTGATTCACACGAATCTTTGGGGTTCTTTATCTAAACTTTAAGCTCTGGTTTCACTTACTTGTGGATACCTTCATAAGATATACATAAATAAGTTTCTTGCATAACAAATCAAAAATAATTGGGGTTCTTTACCTAAACTTCAAACTTTGGTTTCACTTACTGCATAACATTTATGGATGCCTTCGCAAGATATACATAAATATATTTCTTCTATAACAAGTCAGAAGTAATTCAAGCATTCAAGTTGTTTCTCATGTTTGTCAAAACACAATTCAACACCACTTTTAAGACAGTGTAATCAGATAATGGGGGAGAATTCAGGCCTTTTACAAAGCATCTCAAAGAATTGGGAATCTCTCAAAACACAATTCAACACCACATTTAAGACAGTGTAATCAGATAATTGAGGAGAATTTAAGCCTTTTACAAAATATCTCAAAGAATTGGGAATCTCTCACAGACTCACTTGTCCGCATACCTCACACCAAAACGGGACGGTCGAGAGAAAGCATCGACATATTGTGGAAATGGGACTGACACTTCTTGCTCACTCCTTCATGACCATTTTTTTTAATCATACTTAAAAAAACAATCTTCCGGAAGAGAAACACACTTTTACACATTAAACAATCTCAATGTTAATAACATGAAATAGAATAACAGATTACACAACAAAATAACAAAATCAATTTGAAATGATATCTCGCATTTGTTCAGATAAGACTGTGCATATGAAAGCCAGAGCTCCCATAAGTATGTGCAAAATTCTATGCCGAGTTGGTCTTAAAATCACACTCCTGCAGTGGCGGGAACGTGAGATTCAACCGACTTGAGTATCTCTTCACCTAATTGTTTGCATCCTACCAGCTTCTGCATTAAAACACAATCCAAACATCAAGTTTATTTAGAAAAATATAACCGAGGCACATTCAATGTTTTCGCCATGAGAGCAATCATTTTTCACGGTTGACTAATATCAAGATAACGAGGTTAAGTGCTTACCGTTCCAGCAGAATATATGTCAGCAGTTCGAAATCCCTTGTTCAGTGTCTCCAGAACTGCACTCTCTATTCTTTCAGCAGCCTCTACTTCTCCAAGGCCATATTTCAAAAGCATAGCAGCACTAAGAACAGTAGCAAATGGGTTTGCCTTGTCCTGTATATAGATAACAAATATGCCATTGTTAGCATGTTACCTGAGGAAAATAAAGAGCATAAGTAGAAGAAACCAACCTGCCCAGCAATATCAGGCGCAGAACCGTGTATAGGTTCAAAAAGTCCAGGTCCCTGATCCAATAAAAATCCAGAAACCATGTTATTGAAATCAAAGTATTGCAAGTAAACTTGAGAAACATGCTCATTATTCGTATTATAACTTATTAGGAACATTCATTTCATACCGAATCGCCAAGGCTAGCAGAAGGAAGCATCCCAATACTTCCGGTGATCATTGAAGCCTCGTCAGATAATATATCACCAAAAATGTTGTTTGTTACAATAGTGTCAAACTGCAAAATTTGGTGTTAGATAGTATAGTATTTGCATTTTCATCCTTCAGACAAATTTTCTTATGTGAATATAAATTTGCATAGCTGTAAATAAAATAAAAGTCGGGTGATGTTAATTTATTCCATAAGCAAACCTGTTTTGGGTAGCGAATTAGTTGCATTGCGGCATTATCAACATACATGTGTGAGAGCTCAACATCAGGATATTCTTGTGCTAATGCTGTGACCCTTTTTCTCCAAAGCATGGATGCCTGGTGAATTGAAATGTAGTTAGCATGCAGTAAATGAACCTAAATCTGTCAAAAGTATCTTCATGTCCATTTAAGCAGCCAAAACAGGTCTTGATCATTAAGTGGATGTGCAATTTTCACATAAAAGTTAAAAATAAACAAAGATCTTTATAAGTTTTTAGAAATTTGCATATCTTGGTGACACAAAAACTTTAAAAAAAATGAGTGTCGTGACTTTTAATACAGAAATTGCCTCATCATACGGTTTACAGAACACTCAATCTAGACAATCAAACAAGAAAAAAAAACAAATAAGAGATATTCTCCTTGCAGCATGGTTTAATAATCTTCACAATTACAGGTTTAAGCACTTTAAGGCATGCAACTCGATTCTAATTTTTGAAAATATAGATTAGCACCAATCTTCTTGGTATATCAAACAAGACCAGACTCATTCATAAGCAATCTGCTATGATTGTTTTCTGTACAGATATCAATACAGGGGAAAAAAACTTCACACAATTGTATAATGAGTTTCACAGCTTAGTCAAGTCATAAGTACCTCTAGTACATTAGCTTTGTCAACAGAGCAAAGTTTCCCACCACGCTTCCGAGCAATGTTAAACGCAACACGGGCAATGCGATCAATCTGGATACAAATGTCATCAATCAGAAAAATGCACTTACGGAAATAATAAAAAAAATAGTTATAGACAAGAAAGAGACAACACTAAAGAAAACCAGTAAAATAAAAACTCCTTAAGACAGAAAGAAAAACAATGAAATATGCATAAAGTACGTTCTCTTATCCCTCCCTCCTCCTAGACAAATGTTAACTTCACAACAATAATATCAACAACAAAAAAGGACTAAAGATCTTCCGGAAACCAGCGCCAACATTTTATAATGGCAACATACCTCGTGTGCAGCATAAATCTCAGTATTAAAGCCAATCTCTTGGCCATGTTCATTGGTACCAAAGCCCCTGGGTTTTCCAAAATAGATACCTGAATAACAAACACAAGAGCAACAAGATCAGTCACGTAAATAAGTTTCCCATATTAACAATCAAATGAAACGAATGAAGAATTGATATTCAAAATTTCAAATATTAGGATCATATGAGACAATGTGGGTTTCTTTCAAAAGCAATCCTGTCCTAAAACTAGAAAGAGAACACCACAGACCTCCAGTAAGTTCCCGTACAACCATGAGATCAACCCCCTCAGCAATCTCTCTCTTCAAAGTTGAAGCATCCACTAACTACATAGAAATAAACCAAAATCAAAGGCACACCAGACACAGATTGAAAACTATTAAAAAATTGTTAAGAAAATAAAAACACCTCTCTAACCATTCTGTTACAGTTTACTTATGGTCTATTTGGATTGACTTATTTGAACTTATCTACCGACATAAGCATGTAGAAACAACTTATGGCATGCCCATATGTTCTTTTCAGCTTATTTCGCAAAACTGGTCAGAATAGCTTATGAAATAGCCAATTAGCTTATTTGAAAACAGATTGACTTTGCATGTGTTAGGTTCTGTGTGGCGAAAATCGATTTAAAGTGAATAGATTTTAAATGAGTTAAAGGTAAAGTGATTTATGTAAAAGTGAATTGAACATAAATTTGAATGTAAAAAACAATTCTAGAATCAAAAGCTACAACATGAACTGGTAAATTGCAGTATGAGGTAAATGTACCTGCGGGAACACAGTTGCCGGTCGGAGATTTGCAAATACTTGAAGCCCTTCTCGCAGCTGAAGCAATCCAGTCTCTGGCTTCAAATGTTTCTCATTTTTATCCCATTTGTACCTTTCAAAAAAATCAAACAAAATGATTCTACAAATCAGATACAGAAAAGAAGAAAAAAATGTGAAATTGATGAATACCCTCCAATGGCACCAAGGAGAATAGCATCAGATTGCTTAGCAAAAGAAAGGGTATCATCAGGTAAAGGTACTCCAGTAGCCTCAAATGCAGCTCCACCCAAAAGCTTCTCTTGAAATTCGAGCTTAATCCCTAATTGAAAAAAAAAACTAAAGAATCAAAATTTGGAGGCAATGTTGGGAATTGGGAAGTGGGAGAGAATGTAAGTTACCGTGGAGGGATCCGGTGAGGAGAAGAACGTCTTTGGCGACGGAAACAACTTCGGGACCTATGCCGTCGCCGGGAAGGAGAGTGATTTTGTAGGATTTTTTGGTAGAAGGGGTGGCGGCGGAGCAAGTACATCTTAGGGAAGTTGGTCTAGAGGAAGATGTGGAGAAGCGAAAGAGAGAGGGTCTGGTTTGGAGGAAATGCGTTTGAAGACAAGCCGCCATTTTTTGTTGGTACGGCAACTCTCCTAAGAACTCTGTGCGCAAGTGAGAAGACGGGTAAACTAAAAAAACTTATGTTGTTACTGGATCATAGACATGTCATTTCATATGCATAAGTCTTTTATTCAATTTTTTAAAAATCAAATCGCTAATCGAATCGGTAAAGATATTAGATTATTAGTTTATTGGTCGAATTTCTAGATCAATAAACTATTTAACTAAATTAAATAATTCGGTTGAATAAATATGTTACTATAATAAAATTATAGAAATATTAAATCGTTCGAACCGGATGACTCGTATATAAAAAAAATCACTAACATTTAAAAAAAATATATCATAATTTCAAAAGTTTATAATTTAATTTAATTTTAAGTCAATTATAAATTTGATTCAAATAATTATTCAAAAATTTAATCAAAGTATTAATTTTAAATATAAATTTATTTTTATTGTCTATCAAACATGAATTACCATTTACTTTATGTAATATTCTAATCTAACTAATAAAAATCAATGATATCAATCACATAGAAGAGAAAATCAATGTTATAATAATGCAATAGCCTCTATTTATTATATTTAACATTTTTGTCACTAATTTTTAAAGAAAACAATATCAACTTTTTCTTATTTTTTTAAATAATGAAAAACGACGTCGATTTAATTTTTAAAAACAATAAATAAAAATAAAAGCACTTAAACTACCAATTTTTTAATTTTTACCACTTTAAATCGGTTTTTACCGGTTCTCATCGGATCAATTACATATTCAATCCAACAATTGAACCAGAACACTTACCACTCTGGTTCTCGATTCAACCGGTTGTTTCGATCCAGTTTTTAAAACTATGCTTTTATATTTTTACTAGTGAGATACTTGTTATATGGACCAGAATTAGTGGTGTCGATCTTTAAGGGGAATTTTTTATCCTATCCTATAAAGTGGAAAAATATCAAATGAAAAATCCAAAATGCTCATTAGATTTTAGAGATTCATTTTCGTACGCGCCTTGTTTTAAGTCAAAACGTTAACTGATTCGGATATGCATCTCCGTAATATTTCAAAACATACCTCATACATCCCTCTCTATAAGTCATATTTTACATGTTTATTGTTATGGAGATGTATCTTCGTTATGGATCTACGAAGATGCATCTCCGTAAACAGTCAAAATAGTGCAAGTTAAGTTAGTTTTATGATTACTCAGATGAAAATGACGATTTATAAATGTTAAGGCTCGTGTTATGTGACGAGGATTAAACCATATGATTGATATGCAAAAGATGACATATATAAATCCAGATGGTCAAAATAAGTAACTAGCTGATACACAATATAGTCTAAATAAGTCAAAATAAAATAGAATCGATAATAAATCTAAAGTACAAATACTATCAACTACTGCGTATGTCGGACTAGACCTCATCGGGCTCCTCGTCCTCCGATGCTACCTTCGGTACATCAGTGTCTCTTGTGTCTCCGTCAAAATAGCATCTAGGACTTATCTTACCTCAAAACCATCGAGAAAGATACATTTGTTAATTCTTGTCTGCACAATCTCCACAATGCAACGACATTTAGGCAAAACATCATGAGCATGATCTAGATGAGTATGTTTCCCCTCTAGCATCTCCTAATGAACTGGCCTTGGTGGATCTCTTGAAGCAGTCTGCACCATATACGAATGTGACACCTTGAAAAACCACCTAATGTACCTGTCGACATAGCTCTAGTCGCTCTCAGTTATCCTACTTGGTGCCTCCTCCGTGTTACCTTGGATTTTTGACATAAGTATTAATGAAAAGTAAGAAAAAAAAGGACATGTCATGGTAATGTGTGAGTCCTAAGATGGTCAATCAAGATCATGAGTTGGTTTGATGAGTTTGACTTGTCGAAAGATGATTATACTTTCAGTCGAATCCTACAAAATTAAGAAGTATTTGTGGAGTTTTTGGACTTAGTGAAATTTCCAAATATTTAGGTTGGTTATTCTACTTAGTTGAGTGAGTAAGAATTGGATAAGATCAGGTAGTTAGTCAGAGACACACAGAACCCTGTCGAAGACAAAGGTTGCATGGAAGCAAAAATGTGGCATGTTGTGTTTAGTTGGCTGTTGTAGGCAGTTATTTTATACTATTATATAAGTAGACGATTGCTTATGCTGTAGGTGTCTGCAATTGTACTCAAAATTCTACAAACTCAAAGTACTTGTGTGATTGAGAAACGAGTGAAGAAATGTATGTATGCGTTCCACATTTATAAAATTCAAGTTTTTACTTTAAAGTCGTTTTTTCTGCATTTTAGTTACTTTTAGTCATTGTATTATCAAATCATGCATATTTTGATTTCATACAATTTAACTTATTATCACTCAAACATTGTATTTCAATTTTTGTACCAATATGTTGTTCGAAAGTCATGATTCACACATATATGTTCCGGAATATTTTCGAGTTTAATTCCTTAATTATTAATTGAAACTTGTTTTGTTTACAAAATTTCCAAGTAAACATATTGCCACGTCCAGTGGGACCCTTTTTGTGTGAATGTCTACTTTTCATTTTGAAAAATATAATTTTAAAGTTCTTCATTTCACTAACTTCTCATTGTGAGTTTGCATGAGATTAAGGAGTGGTAGATAACCAAGAGAGAAGTTAGGAAACCTACGAGAAAATACATTAGGAGAATGGTTATTCCTAGAAAAAATAATGGAGAACAACCATCTATTAGCGTTGGGTCAGGCACAGTCACTGCAGTGTCGACTGAGCTAATCCCTTCGATAGCTAGCACGACGGGCATTCCGTCAACGATGGTTGCACCGTCGAGTATACTCAGGGACGATTTTTTTCCCCTTCAGTAACCCAGAGTCACCCAGTGATTCCTAAACCAATTATGGTGACATAGAATAGGTCTTTCGCCACAGGTTTTACAATGCCAATGTCGGGGCGTGAACAACCTTATCGGATGCCAACATCAATGATGGCAAACCTACATATTAATCCTTCGGCATTAGTTGACAATGCTGCAAAGACATATTCGCTAATTTTGGGGTCTAGGTCAGTCATAGGTAACCCTAGTAAAACCATACCACCCCATATGGGAATGGGATTTGGTTCTTAGGCAATGCCGACATTTACTACAAATCATGTAATGGAATTGAGACAGCAGATGAAGGAGAGTAACCATGATATGGTCAATACTCTTACCCAACAAATAGGTACCATATTTAACCCATTTATTCAAAATACGAATCGGAGTTACCAACCGTTGACAACTCAAATGAATCGAATTATTAATTTTTTGGTGCTCCGCCAATGCAAGTTCGACCCATTGTACAACCCCAAGTCACTAGGAAAGTTCAAAATGAATGAGTAGTCTTGGAGGAGAATACGGTAAATCAGGGGAAATAGTTTGTGTCCCATTGTCATACCCTAAATTTTACCCTTAGATTCTTTTCTTTGCATATCATTTTAGGTCAATCATCTTCACATTTGTAGTCATGTAGTCCATTAATAATTGGTCATGCATTTTTCATGTTTAACTTTTGTTACGTATTCTTTTTTAATTCAATTGTTTTCATAAATCTTAGAACTTTATGCCTTCTTTTAATATTTATTATTTTAATTATTTATTTTTTGTATTTCTATTTATTATTTATTATTAGTTATTTATTATATTTATTTATTTTTAGTTATTTTATCTCTATTTATTATTTTTATTTATTTTTATTTTCATTTACTATTATTATTATTTCATTTTTTAATTATTTGTTAGAAGCTCAATTCACATTTTTTTCATAAAAATCCACTACAAACAAAATACAAAAGGCTCGTGTATATACATTACAAAAAAATTAACATTTCAACAAAGCCACAAAATGAAGATGTAACTGCTAGTACATGCATGCTACTCCTACGTGATAGCCTAAACCTTGCCAAAACATGCTTTAAGACAAATTGTACTGCATTATGCTACATTAGACCAAAACCTGTTATTTCATGTGTTACAAGTACTGCTACAAAGACAACACAATGTCACGCGAAGACACTACAAAACTTCAGTACACAGCAAGATTCTACACCCCACTCCGGACCAAACCTGCTATGCAAAGCTACAGTTGATACATCCTGCAACACACTGCTATGGCCTGTGACATCACAACAACCATAACCTTCCATATTACAAGACAAATTGGAAAATGAATTGATGAAGGGGATCCTTGGATTTAAGAGGATGAGATGAATAAAAAATGAGGAGAGAAGGATTGGTCAAAGGGCACTTCGACTGTCTTCCCTAATCTACACCACCATCATAACCTTCATTTTGTTTTTACTAAAATAATAACCTGTAAACCATCTACAAACAATCATAACATCCATTTTTTTCCAATAACCAAACAACAAAATCTCGTTTTTTTTCTCGCTCTTCAATCCCTTACCAACCATTTTCATAACCTCAACACCTTACCTTTCGGGTTTCAAAATCACGCGAATTGAGTGTTGCAGTGAAATTTGGATGTCAAGCTATTGATTAACTTGAATCTTAATTCATTTACAACCGATCTTTGATTTATCAGAAGGAAAGGTTAAAGAAAGGGGAAAACCTATTTTGCATCATAAACACAATGCGGGGAAAGATCTAGAGTTCAGGGGTTGGTTGAGCTTAGGGAATGTATCAGCATCCTAAACTTCTGTAGTACTCTACAGGAACCTCTTTTTTCAAATGTTTTATTGCTATAGTTATCTGTCTAAGGGCGATGCTAAGGGTTAAAGGTAAAGAGAAAGGACCTAAGGGGTTAGTCCTAAGTTTACTCGCCAAGACTCGCATCTTGTGTCTACGTATCCTGGGTAGGGGATGGAATCAGAGTAATCGTAGTTCCCCTCACAGAGGGAGGAAAAGGAACTTCTTGATTGTGGTCAAGGTTCTAGGGGGAAGTAATCGTTCATAGGGAAGCGCTTACTTTGGAGTGCGGCGACTCTGATTTCTACATTATAAAGTT